AAAAATTGCTAATAAATATATTAAATATATAAAATAAAATAATTTATTAATTGCTACGCAATTTAATTAGTGATATTATTATGATATTATTATGATAGTTTTATCAATTAGCGTTTCAAAACTTTCATTGTTTCAAAAAATTTATTCAGTGCGCAGTTTGATAGAACTTGTGACTCGTAGTATCTAGAGTCATCTCGGCGCTATGACAAGCTCAGCGATATACAAATTTACATCAAATTATTAAACATTAAAGCATTAGTTTAAGCATTAAAGATCAAGAATCCGTTATAGGCTTTATTTTCTGCTGAACGTGAACATAACTTCAGAAATAAATTTAGAATATGAAAATTACGCAAAAAAATGTATATAAACATATATATTATCTGATTTTGTTTCCGAATATAAATGTTTTTGTATTTCATTCTCTTTTATGTTTCATTACAAATTAAGTTAGCATATTTTTACACATATTCTTGTCTTTACTTAATTAAATTAGTTAATTAAATATCTTCACTTAAATATAGATACAATAACAAAGATAGATACACAAAACAGTTCTGTATTTCTTAAAACTAATATAATTACATAAACAAGGGCTGTGAGAAGTCGCGGTAATTACAAATGTAATACGATTTATTCTCTTGATCAATAACGATGTCAAATTCGATACCTTTATAATTTGATATACTTACGTGTATATATATATTTATATATACATGCGGAATATTTTGTCAATCATTAATTCATCGTTACTGACATCGCTGAGGATAGCTCGAATCAGAGAGAATCGAAACGTATAGTATATATAAATGTTAAATTTGACATCATTATTGGTTGAGAGAATAAATTGTATTGCGCTCGAATTATCGCGACTGACTTTTTATAATATAATATCCCTGTTTGTACAATTATATTATCTTCACTTAAGTTGATACTAAACATCTAGATAGAAACCAGCTAAAAAAAATTCAACTTATAATAAAAATTAGTAAAATGAAAACATTTGTTACCCGGAAACAAGATGTATCAAACGTTTGTATAAAGTTTTTGTGTTCTGAATACATTTCCGAAGTTGTGCTCATATATTATGAAACATTTTATACAATTAATAAAAGTTTAAGAATACTTTTGCTTATAGATTTATGAAGAAAAATATTTTCGACGTACAAGACAAAAATTAGATCAGTTGTATTAAATTCTTACACAACATTATTATATTTATACATATTTTAAGAATACTTTTGCTTTTAGATTTTATGGAGAGAAATATTTTTTATATACAACAGAAATTAGATCACGTATTAGATTTGTACGAAATATTAAATTTTTATACAACATTATTACGTTCGTATATTTTAAATAAAATAATAAATTAAACATAGTAGATTACTGTTTAAAAAGAATTTTTTTATTATATTTATAATATTAAATATTTGTACAAAAAGCATTTCTCTTATTTTCTTTACTGGTTAATTATAAGATTTATATGTATATACAACTTTTTAAATACACAACTTTATAAATATTTTCTAAAGATATTAAGATATATGTAAGAATTATTTAATCATTTGTATGTAATTGTAAAAAGGATGAAGATTAATCCAATATGAATAATCCATTGTGTACAGTAAAGAATCAGAAAATTATCGCGTGTATTGAGGATTAATATACATCACTTTTTTTCCCTGAAATATAAATGAATATCTAAAACAGTTGCTTTACATACATGTCATGATATGTAAAATATCTATTCAGGAAAATAATAAAAATAAATTTTAAATAATTAAATTTTAAATAATTACAGATATTACGTTTTAATAATATCAATGTTTTGCTTGGAAAAGATAATATTAAACATTATTATATATTACAATTTTTTTTATTTAAAATTAAAATTAATATCATGTCTTTCTAATTTAAATATCAAAATTTATAGATATAAATATAGCACTCTGTTTGAAAGAGAAAATAAAATCCGAATTTGTAATCAAACAGAAAATCATCGTATTAAAATACTTAACTTTATTAAATTTGTGCGAGACACATAATTTTTATTGAAAAGGGAGAAAAAAATCTGATGCAAAAATTTAAATAATAATAAGCAACTTCCTTTTATAACTTTTCTATATATTATTTCTTTTTATTAACTCTTACCTTTTTATATACTGTATAACGATTATATGATATTCATAAAAATTAATTGCAGCTACTGTGAAGCACTACTTTCATGAACTTTTATATTTGAAGTAAATTAAATCTTGATTATTTTTCGAAAATTCTTGTTCTTCCGTGCTCTCTGTTTGTGGTGCCGTCGATGTTTGATATTGAATATGCGAAACGAAGTAAGATAAATACTAGGTATGCTAAATATCACATAAAAGTCACGTGGTATAAATATGGCCAAGAAATTCGTCATATCTATATTGTCATTATCATTATTTAGGGGAATGTTTATTTTTCCACTGAGATAAGTCTATATTTTTTGAGATAGGTCTATTTCCCAATATCCAATATAATCCAATCAGCGTAAAGCGCTTATTTCTATTGAACGCAGATATTCGATAATACAACAAACAGATATTAAGATCAAATGCATGCGCAAATTTTAACTGAAGCTTCTTTTTTTATTCATTACTTACTTATATAATAATATATACTTCATTTCTTTTTAACATATCTTTTTAACATTTAAATACTCTAGTATCAATAAACTGATAAAATAATTGTTTTTGAATTAAAAAAGTAAACTTTTAATTTGTACTAATGTATGTATAATATATACATATATTTTGCAGCTTTTCAATTAAATACGTTTTTTAGATTTATATAGAATATTTGTTTAAATAATTTTTTTACAAAAATTTTAGATCTATATTCGCAAATAATTGAAAGAATTATTTCGAAGTATCAGATTTATTATTATTTTTAGTTTTACAAATATGCAAATATTAAATTTTTATAAAATGAAGTTCTTGCAATACTTTATTAAATAATATTTAATTGAGATATACAGGCATATACGTGATTATTATATATAAGTAGTTTATTATTATATATAAGTAGTTTTACACTTTAAAATTTTAATTTTATGATATGGCAAATATTAATTTAGATATAAGATTCACATCTTATTCTAATAATTCCAGTCCAATTATTAATAATTTATTCCGCATTAAATTATTATCTCTTTACTAGTATTAATATTATGATATTAATACATATATATTACTAGTATTAATATTGTGATGTTAATATATATCTGTGCGAAATCTATTTAAAAAATAATGTTACAATACATAAAAATTATTTTGTAATGGTTTATTTTTATGCAATTGTTATACATTCTTTTGTGCATAAACTACTAATGCTTTACATCGGTCTAATACAAGTTCTTGATCATTATATATTGATTTATAATAAATCTTTCTTCTCATATATTCATATGAAAGTATGTTCTTGAATT